ACCCCGTGTGAAGGGCGCTCCTGAAGTGCAGCCCAGTCTGTGATGGAGGACGTTCTGCCCACGAGGCCAGTAGCATGTCTCTGGACCTACGTTGACGTATGTTGAACGTGAGGTCTGGAAGAGAGATTTCCTGGGTTTCTGATCTGGTTCTGGCATTTGCTGCTGTCACCTTGGGTCGTTAACCTAATTAATTCTTCTCTGCCTTGGTTTTCTCATTTTCTTATCTCGATGTCCTCACTCCTCCAAATCAGATAGCTTTAGCATTTTCTTTTTTTTTTTAAGATTTTATTTATTTATTTGACAGAGAGAGACACAGCGAGAGAGGGAACACAAGCAGGGGGAGTGGGAGAGGGAGAAGCAGGCTTCCCGCCGAGCAGGGAGCCCGATGCGGGGCTCGATCCCGGGACCCTGGGATCATGACCTGAGCCGAAGGCAGACGCTTAACGACTGAGCCACCCAGGCGCCTTCTAGCATTTTCACTTTATGGAAAATCGTTCTTGGTGCTTGAGCTACAAAAGGTGCATAGCTGCAGTGCCTAGAGAGGGAGCAAGATCATGTGCACGCAGTATCTTCCTAGGCAAGTCCGGTCGTGGGGGTGGCTTGACTACGACCTCTTTCAGTAAGTCCTTGTTGTCAGGTCCTGTCTTTAAGAACATTGTCCTGATACATGAGATACAGCAGTTTAGTACTGTCGCCTATGTATCTGATGTGAGGGTGTGCAAAAGCTTATTTTCACACACACAGGCAGTAGATTTGTATACTGTTAAATTACAAATAATATTCAGCATTGACATATCTAGCGGACGCTTTATTTCTTTGTAAGATCAGTATTTTATAGGGCATGTTACACATTTTTCCATTAAGTTTTTAAATAAGTATTCGACTTACATAAGTTGATTAATTATGTAAGTGTATGTGGCATTCTTCTCATATTGAACTCGAGAGCTATTCTCTGCTCACTTCTCTCCCTTTTTACCTTAAAATTTTTAGTCAAATGCGATAGGAACAATTTAAGAGGTGACAAGAAGAGTGATCGAGCTATTTTAGGTGGTTTCTCAAAGAAAGAGAAAGAAGCTCCTGTTTTTGTCAGGCATCTCAAAAACTGGCTAATAAGTGACTTCTTAGAATTCCTCATAGGTTTAAAAATAAGGAGCTAAATTATTTTGATATTGATGATGTACATATATTCTGCAACTTATCTTTTTTTCCCTGTCATTTTTAGGATTCTGAGTAACAATAAAATATCCGAGCTGAAGAATGGCTCATTTTCTGGGTTAAGTCTCCTTGAAAGATTGTGAGTATTTTTTATTATATCTTATTGTTATTTTACTTACTGCACTTTTTTTTTTGGTTTATTATGAGCTTTACTTGAGTGAGAGATAATACTTAGCTGCACTTTTATTTTAAGTCTGTTACTAAACTCTCGACTTTTCCAAAATAAAAATTTGAGTTTTCCCAACATTTTATTATGAAAAACTTCAAGAATTTAATTTCAAGAAACAATTAGTCAATTAGATGTTGGCAAACTTTCTGTAAAGGGCCAGATAGTAAATAATTTAGGCTTTGTAGGCCATGTGGTCTCTGTGACAATTCCTCGATTCTGCCATGATGGTGGGAAAGCAGCAATAGACAATAAAGAAATGAATTGATGTGGAGGTGATGTTATTTGCAAAGCAGGCTGGGGATCATGGTTTGCTGATCACTGGCTTTTGGAGCATAGATGCTGTTTCGAAGTTCTGTCATGACGTGTGTGTGGGCTTTATAGAATAGTCAAGTAGAATTTAAACACATTAAGGACGGAAACTTTCGGATAAACTTTGATATTTTATTTAGATGTCTTTGAATGTGATAATTGTGTTTTGCTTAGAAATTAGGTCGTTTTGTTTATGATCAGATATAAGTAGTGCTTATTTTTTTTGCCTTGGATTTTACACAGTGGATATTTAATTAGCTTGTCTTATGAATGATAGTCCAGGATCACATTTCAGATTCCCTTTATTACTCATACATTTAGGATAACATTTCAGGACATTCTTTTTTTTTTTTTTTTTTTCCGAGTTGGCTCCACTCCCAACGTGGGGCCTGAACTCACGACCCTGAGATCAAGAGTCGCATGCTCTAGGGACTGAGCCAGCCAGGCGCCCCTACAGAAACATTTCAGATGTATATAAGGTGTAGGTAATATAAGGAAGCTCTACTGTGAGCCTCCTGTTTCTGTTGAATTACAGATTTCCCTTCTTAGTTCTCTTTGCTCTGCTTCACTTTCTTTCTGTGTGATCTTCCCTTGACCATCTGACCCAGTGGTTTCTACAAACTCCCACAAGACATTATTGCTTTGATCACAGATGTGTTATTTAAGCATGTACATAGTTTATTATTTTTAAAAGATTTTATTTATTTATTTGACAGAGAGAGACACCGCGAGAGAGGGAACACAAGCAGGGGGAGTGGGAGAGGAAGAAGCAGGCTTCCCTTGAGCAGGGAGCCCGATGCGGGGTTTGATCCCAGGACCCTGGGATCACGACCTGAGCCAAAGGCAGACGCTTAATGACTGAGCCACCCAGGCGCCCCCATAGAGTTGTTTTTTTTTTTTTTTTTAAAGATTTTATTTATTTATTTGACAGAGAGAGACACAGCGAGAGAGGG